CCGTCACATTGTCGACACTGGAGCCGTCCGACTGTCTGTGAAACACAAGCAGCCCTGTCATTATTTAGCCTTTATACTCAAGCTATTAAGACTAATGAGTATTTAATTAACTGAATTTTCTGGATATTACTCTAATAAAAGTCATTAGTTATATGTCCTCTCATGGTTTGTAGTTACGCCTCTTGTCCAAATGTCTCAAAGATGAATATAATGTTTTAAACATTGTCATACATTGTGGCACAGCCCTGTCACACCACAGAAGTTCATTTTGTTCAGAGAGTAAGAGATGTGTATCCTGCACTTTTAATTATGTATTGACTAGACCCTGGGAAGTGACCTAATTTTACTGCTAACCAGCATTTAGCCAATGTAGGTCATGGTGATTAAATCAGAGCATGATATGATTCTGCGTAAAGGTTACATAAACCAATTCACAATGAGAGGACATCCCCTGTGATGACGAGACACAACAGCCCCTCTCCTCTTATTTATCTTTAAGCCTGTACATTTTGCATGGCTACAAATGAAAACTGGTAGGGGAGAGTGGGGTAAGTTGAGCCACCCCCTGTTGCTTGGAAATGGTAAAAGAAATTGATCATGTGACCAAATATTTAGGAGATGGGCATCAATTCATGGAGTCTGTGAAGGTGAGACGCACATGAGTGAAGGGGTTAGACATTTATTTCCAAAAAAACATTTTTCACTCTTCAAAGTGAATTTAGTCTGTCATCAGTTTTATTAGAAATGTGTTCAGACCAAAAAAGATCATTTTAAATTTGTTTTATACATCAATTGTGGTATCTATGAGCTACAACATCAGGTCATAAACCGAGCATAAAAGTCCACCATTTTAGCTTAGAGGACTAATAAAGTCATAATAGTAGTTCTGGGGTAACTGAGAAAATAAAGGAGCCTAAAGAGAGGATCAGAGTTTCAGTTCAGATTGTTGAAATGTGTTACTTTTTCTTTTCAAAAATACAGCTGTGAATGTTCTGAAGAGATTTCTGAGGAGAGAAGGTGAGGAAGGGCTGGGGTGGAGAGTGGGGGGGTAGTAAAGATATGGCTCAACTTACCCCGCTCCCCCACCCACGGGGTAAGTTGACCATAGGAGACCAGTTTTTTTTTGGCATGCTATATTATCAAAACAGTTATGTTTACACTTATTCTGTTGGTTTACGGGGATGCACAACATCCTGAAATATACGCAGATACACTAGTTAGAGACAAAACTATGATTGTCTAAATGTAGGGATCCGAAATATGAAAAATGGCTCATCTTACCCCACTCTCCCCTATAGGAGAAAAACTCCTATCTTTTAGTGACATAAATTTTAAAATATAATAGTATAAAAATATCCTTTTCTATGATAAAGTTCTGCATAAAAACAATTAAAAGATGCAACAAGTCAAAAGGCCTTGTATTAATTCTAACTCTCATCTTATCAACCCACCTGTCAATCAACCGACTATGGACGTTAGACTTGTCCAAACTGAAGACACGGCTCTGAGCGAGGTATTGTCGCCTTTATCTTCACCTGGAAACAACAAATTGAACTCAACCATTAGTCTTTAGACAGATTTTACATATGCAGGTACGATAAATCAGTTAAATCAGTCAAACTGTCGTCACTCACCGCCTTCAGATTCACACAGCTCTGTTGTTATCACCGAGGATGTGAGGATATCGAGAGCCACAACGACCGTTAGCTAGCAAACAAGACGGCTAAAGTAAGTCAAATAATGGCTTCCTAATTTAAATAAATTATTTAGTTTCACCGTAACACGTTTAAATGAGAATTAAAGGTTAACCTTTCATTTCAGTGACACACTCTTTGGCTTACTCTGGCGACATCTTCTGCTGAGAGATAAAATCCGCACTTTTGAGAACGGAGTTCCCGCCAATTGAGCTGCGCATGCGTCAGGTTTTAACTCATCAGTAGCCTACCTTTTTTCTTTTTTAACTTTATTAACAATTCACGGTCGCCTTGTATGGTGGCCGAGAACCGCCACTGCTGCAAATAAAAAAAAAAATAAAAAAAAGAAGCCACAAAGGAAGTACGAAAAAATAAAGGGGGTTTTAAGGCAATACCTACTCACAAAACACAAGCAGTAACTAAATTTTAAATTGTTAAATATACTTTATACAGATAAATAAAAAAATTGACCCAACTTGATTGAAAATTATCCAATAAAAAATGCCTGTAGCTTAGCAAGTTACATATCCTCATTGACTAGATATTCAAAGGGGAGATTTGTCTAAAGATGTTATCAAACATCAGTTTTTAATTACTGTACATATGATTCCATGACCTAGATCTCTGTCAGTTGTCGATCGAGTCAAAGATAATAACGAACATTGCTTTGTTTTATCCAACCTTAATCTTCAAACAGTTTTAAATTAAAGGCAGCGTCACGTGGGATAATTTTATTATAATTAAACCAGGAAAAAATCATGGATCCAATAATGCAACTGAAAACCATGTGAAGTCTTTTTAACAGCTGGATTTTACAGGAATAAAAAAGGACGACATTAAAAAAAATCCCAGTGCGCTGAATCATGCTTTACTGTTTCCAACACTTAATGAGGTCAAAGCTGAATTGCCTTGAAACCAATCACATCCATTGCCCAGGTTGTTTAGTCTAAGAGGAAGTATCATGTCTGATATGAAAGCAGTCCAGAAGTGATGGGGGTTTGGTCTGTTTTGAATATATTGATGCTGTTCTCATATGTCCGGCTGCTGAACTGCTTTGTTGGTTTTCTCTGAGCAGAGTTTAAAACACAGCTTTGTCAAACAATAGCAAATCAGGGTTGAGGTTTAGGTGCGCAGATGACTACAAGCAAGCTGGAAGAAATGAGAGACTGCTTTTTCTGATTACCTTGTTATACTTGTGCCCTAAATCTGAAGGATTGTGACGAGTAAAAACCAAATTTACAACTACCAAAGGTGTCAGTCCTCAAGCATTTGGCTTTTTTTTCCTTCTCCATTCTCAGCATCCCCTAGCAATTTTCTGTGTATGGGTCTGTTTTTGTCCTTACAAAGATGTAGGTAGATACAAATGTTAAGTAGTGGCAGTATTAAGCATCATGGGTAAAGTCAGAACAATAACCCCTCTAAGCCAGAAACAATGGATGTGAACTGCACCAAATTAAAGCACTTTTTTAACTGACTTTGCCAATGTTTTATGGGAAAGGAAATCCATTCAACACATTTTCCACAGCTCAAGGACACACATGGTGGGCTTTTGGCAAGACACTATGATTACAAACAGCAACTTTGCTTTTTCGTTGGAAACTTTTGAACTTTTTCAAGAACTTTTCACTTTAATTTTTTTCCCCACACATTATTTTAATTCCTCTGAGCTTCTTTGAATAAAAAAGGACTTTGTTTGTGAAAATATTAAAAACAATATCTTCATACGGGGTCAATATGGAGAACAACACGCACCAATGAAATACTGACTATCCCATTTCTGCCCATTGTTTCCCACTGAATATAACACTTGTTCATCCAAAGCCCTGACAGAATTCAGCTTTGCTCATGCACATACAGACTATCTCTGTATTCTGTTGTTTCATTTATAGTTCTTGTTGTACTTGGACAGTGGAGGAATCATGGGATAAACATTAGTATTCTCTTGCCAACACTGCTGTGGACCGACTGGAACAGATGACACACTCCTGCACGTGTCTATCTGTTTCAGCAGCTCTGTTGCTACACAAACCTCCGCTGGGATGTTCCACCGTTGGAGGAAGTTGACTGTAGTTTGGCTCAGTTACACTGCACGCCGTAGACAAATTACTTACACATACTGGGCTTTTTTAAGCAGCTGGACCGACATTGTATTTAACTTATTTGACTTTGGGGTTGATATTGGTGTTTGGCATCAGATTTGGCTGGTTAGATGATGTAGCTGGCAGCTGCAGAGGAACTTAAAAGTGGAAAAACTTTTCAAAAAAGTATAGAGTTTGGCGTTGGTGGAGCTCGGACTAAAACAAGCTACTGTGAACCTGTAAAATAGGATGTTATTAGTGGGTTCTTAGTGCGCTCTTTGTGGGTGACTGATGACACGGAGGCAAACGGAAAAAATAATCTGCTTTTCTCTGTGAAGTGAAACTACTAAAAGGGGCAACAACATGGCTAACAAATACAGTTTTTCCTCTAGTAAAACTCATGACACTCAAGGTCCTAATGTGTTTCTTAACATCTCTTTAGATACCAGAGAGTGGCGTCACTTAAGGCTAGGGTATCTGCAAAAATGAAATACAGTGGTCTCAACAAGTTGATCACATAGCACAACCGTTCGTGACGGCACCTCACTACAACCCTACAATCAGACTTGAACTATGGTAACTGCACCAGGCCTGTTGCACCAACTATGGGTAAGTTCTGACCAGTCAAAGCACTTTACATCACCTCACATTCACACTACGACAGCAGAGACTATACTGTATAGTCCCCCAGTTTTTGACTAATTTCATTCACACACCTCTGGATGTAGCCAGCAGGGACAGTGGGGTCAAGTGTCTTAACCAAAGGACACTTCGGCACGTAGACAGCTCTGGGATCAAACCCCCGACCTTCCAATTCTGAAACATCCTACTTTATAAACTGAGCCACAGCCGCCCTGTTGTCAGCTGAATGAAAATCTCCATTAAGATCAGCAGATTAAATCCAAATCTATGAATCTATGATCAGCATCTTCAGCGTAATTGCTTCTCATGATGGGAATTCAGGCTCTTTGGTGATCCAGATCATTCGGCTCAGCAAGAACCAGCTTTCAGCTCTCAGTCGGCTCATCGAGTCAGTTCTTAGAGCCAAGTCCTTCACAACTGACACAGACTCCCCACCTCAGGGTAGATACTGTCTGCTGCATAAGTACTGCGTTTTTAGAGTCAGGTCAAATAATGTGGAAATAACATAAAAAAAACAATACCAGCAGGTAGATAAACAAACCTGTGCAATAATGCCAAATACCACAACATTGATCCACCCTCAGTCTGCAGCCCTCATATCTCTGTTTATTAGAGTTTATAAATTCTATTACTGCTAATGTCTTTAAAAAAAACCTTCATTTACTCTCCCTCTTCACCCTTTAGTTCACTTTTTATCATTCTTCTGCAGGGTTGCAGGGTCGAGTGTGAGGTGGCACGTTAATATATTTCAAACTGAGTCACTGTGCGTCTTTAGTCCTCGTCTCTTTCCTTTTTTCATTTTTGTGTCTGTGCGGCGCAGTTTGATAATGTCTCAGTAACTCCTCGTGATCCCGGATAAACATCTTCACCTTAGAAAAAAAAACAAAAAAAATTGTTTTCATCACACTGTTTTTTTTTTTTTTAAATTTTATTTTTATTTTTTACCATCTCTGCTCTGTAGGTTTTCATACCTGGTCTAACTGTCTCTCTGTGTCGTTTATGTCCACAGCCTCCTCTTCATCCTCATTCCCACCTGTCATTTCAAAGAGGTTAAGGGTGGCCATCTTTATCTCTCCCAGCTGGAGGGTTTTCTTTGCTGTGGTTTCCTGGATGTGGTTCCATCTCTTTTCCTGCATGTAAACACAAGCAGCTGATTTCCAAACACATGGTTGTTTAGTCTTAAAGTGAGGCGTGTGCTGGTTGAAGGACAGGGTTTGGTACCCATATTGAGGTTTCAGAAAGCGCTCTGGTGAGCTCGGTCTGGAGCTGGGTCAGCTGGTTGGTCCCCTGCAGCTGCACCAGGTGATGCTGTTCCTTCAGTTCAGCCAGCTCTTTCTTCTTCTCCTCCACTTTCTGATCAGACTGAGCCTCTTTCTTATACAGATGCTCTTGAAATTGGAGGAGACTCTCCAAGTGACTCGTGAGCTGCTGTGCATCCTGAAACTAGAGCACAAAAATCACATATTAAGACTCTATAGTTTGATTAACTTTAAACCTTTTAATGTGCCAATTCAACTCTGACAAAAACTTAACCCTGCTGACTCGACTCATTTGTCATCACCAGAGAAGCAGCTACAGACTCCAAACCATATACTTTCATCAAACCACTTGCATATAATGCTAAAACTATGGCAGATTTAAAGTCAATTGAAAAATGGTCCAAAAGGAAGCAATTTTTAACAGAGGTATAGAGACAACTTCCTGAATACATGTATTCAGCACAAATAATGCTAAATCATAAGCTCATAGGACCTCCTAAGACAGAGGTCTCTTTTCTGTGGTTGCCTTGGAGAAATACAAGTGAAAAATCAAAATAAATATATGAAATAACTATGGACATAATGAAATGAACTCAGTTGGTTTTCGTTTTTCGGTGAAGGCAAAAAGTTTTGTTTGTGATTTATCAACTTACAAGTCTTTTGTACATCCAGAAAGACAGTTCACTTCCATTATAAAGTGTGAATTGTAAAAAAAACAGTCAGATTTGGTCCATGTTTCTTTACCGTTGTCATCTTGACCACCTGCTCCATGTATTCATTATACACAGCGTGTCTCTCCACTTCATGTCTCAGCTCCTCTTTCTTCTCCATCAGTTTCACAAACTCTTCCTCCAGCCTCTTCTCCTTCTCCTCCTCCCTCTGAAGCTCAGCTCTCCTCTCTCTTTTTGCTCGATCAGCATCTTCTTTCTACATGTAGAGATACAGAATGATGTTATAAAACTATTGCTGAGCACCGAGACTATAGTCTAACTTTTAGTGAAATTCAGGGTTTGTATGTTGAGTGTTTCCTTGCTGTACTTTATGCAGCATTTTAAAGTCTGAGTGGAACTCTGTCAGTCTTTTCTTCTCCTCCTGCATCTTCTGTACGCGTGCCTTCAAACTTTTCAGCTTCTATATAAAAACACAAACACACCACAAGCAAAGATGTAAATACTGTCAACTTAAAAAGCATTTAAGTTAGGTTTTCAGGTAGCTGATGCAGCAATGGACAACTCACTATGATAACCTGTAATGATGACCTGGTTATGTTTTTCTTCTAAATTTTAATCCAGTACACTTCAAAAAATGTTATACTTCCTAGTCACACCAAATGTGTGAGACAGTGGAAACTGACATAATATTGTATAAAACACGTCTTCTTTTCTATTATAAATTTGGCATAGGGCCTTCTTTTTCATAATGTTAAACCTATTTTAACTTATTTTCTCAAAATCTTCACTTATTTTATGATTTTATGATTTTTTTTATCTCAAAATTGATTCACTGTCTCCTAATACTTTGAATCATCTGACATTATATTATATAAATTTCAATCTACATCACATAAATTGACTCTGTAAGTTGGTTTCAAGCAGGAGAGACAAACATTTCTAAAGTTTCACCTCGGTGTAACTTGTTCTAAAAACTTTCTGGGATTCCTCAAGTCTGAACATTTCCGCACCTGTTTTCGCTCCTCCGTCTTTTGCTCCAAATCTTTCTCTTCTCGTTTTTTTCTCAGTATATCCTGAAGCAGAGAGGCCCTGTAAATGTTTGCACTGCTTTCTGACCTACAGGAAATCTCTGCAGGAGGGACTCTGTTCACACAAAAGTATGGTACACGGTTAGACCGACTGACCAACCAACCGAGGATTCACATTCACTACCGGGTAAAACCGCCTTTTAAAAACTCACTGCGACTCTTCCTCATCATGGGAGGTCTTTCCATTCATGGCTGCTCCTAACATTAGATAAAACTGCTTAAATAACTTGCTTAGACTTGAAAAAGTTATCTCCAAACTGCTTGAAACCGCTTTGCCGAATAGGTCCTCCGCTCGTTTCCATGGTAACAGGTAAACCCGGAAGAAGAAGAAGAAGAAGAAGAAGAAGAAGAAGAAGAAGAAGAAGAAGAAGAAGAAGAAGAAGAAGAAGAAGAAGAAGAAGAAGAAGAAGAAGAAGAAGAAGAAGAAGAAGAAGAAGAAGAAGAAGAAGAAGAAGAAGAAGAAGAAGAATTTCGGAAGGGAAATTGAATGGAAGGAGAGGCACAAACCTGTACAGAATTTAAGAAATGAATGAAAAAATCACCTTTTTAAATAAAGCCGTATATGTCCAACTGTCTACAAAATGACCTGTGACATTAAACCTGAAGAAGAAGAAGAAGAAGAAGAAGAAGAAGAAGAAGAAGAAGAAGAAGATCATCTCAGGCCCGTGTTCAATTGCTCTTAAACCCACTATGATAAATCTAAAAAATGTCAATAAATAATGAATAAAAATATTAATTACAAACCAAAAAAAACCCAGAGGTCTCTATTGAGGTTTTATGCACATACTTAATCAAGTTTAAAGGGACATTCCGGCGTAAAATTAAGTTAGGGTCAAACACAACGTAACACCGAGTTAGACACCCCCTCGAGAGATGAATTGCTTCTTCTCCGCTTGCTTCTCTAGTTATACCAACTTAAGTAACGACAGCACGACAGCAATACACACTGAGGAGCCATAAACAAACCTCAACCAAAACGCCACTCTATAGCCACAAATAATGCTCAGAACAGCACCTAACTTCATCAACAGTAGGGTCCTAGCCATAGTACTAGCCCCAAACATCTTTTTAACTTTACCTAATTTCTTTAGCAAAGAGACTAAACACAACTCACCTACTCTCTTCCAGCAGCTGCTTGTTTGTAGCGAGACCTCAGGCCAGTCCATTACAGACTGCTGCAGGGTGACGCAGCTCAAGGAAGAACATTTATGATCATTTCTTTATCATTTCCTTAAAGTAATAATCACCATATTAATCACTTTGCACTGCAGATGCAGTAGTTCTTCTGCCTTAGCGTCTCGGTCTGATTGCATTTCCATGAAGAAATGATCATAAATGTTCTTCCTTGAGCTGCGTCACCCCGCAGCAGTCTGTAATGGACTGGCCCGAGTTCTCGCAATAAACAAACAGCTGCTGGAAGAGAGTAAATGAGTTGTGTTAAGTCTCTCTCTCACACACACACACACACACACACACACACACACACACACACACACACACACACACACACACACACACACACACGCACACACACACATAGTGCACCAGGGCAGCCACAGAAGTAAAAAGGAGTCTGAAATAATGAACAAGCTGAAACCAGCAAACTTTATTACATACTGCATGTCCTTCATTTTAGCATAATACATCAATTATCAACATCAGAATATATATGGCTCTGATTTCATGGTACATAAATCACTCAACAAAATACCCTGTTTGGACAAACAACTGATACAAAGTGCACGATTGAAGTTCCAGTCAACTGCATCACATGACAGAACAGCTGAAAAAAGAGTTAAAGCTTACATTCAAAACACCTCAGGAGGATCTGCAGTCAGAGGACATGTTCATGGGACAGTATTATTTAATACCTCCTCTACTGTTTAGAGAAATAGTGACCAATGCATTTTATTAAAGTACACACTCGGACATTCAGGCAGCACAAACTAAAATAGAAACATATTTGGCACCATCTTTTTTCTTAGCATAGAACATAAAATACAACTTGCAATACAACATTGTTAGTATAATATGGAGGTAATATTTGAGTTTGGCACATGACAGGAACACTCAAAGGTTTAAAAAGATCATGTACTTCTTACATGCTCAGTCTTATTGAAAATTGAAAGTTCAGAATAAAAACCCACTGACAGTATATAGCATAAATTCCTCAACATGAAAATGGACTTTCCAAGAATTATCAGCTCTTTTAGCCAGCTAGCTTCATGATTAGCTTCTGGCTTGTGTTAGCGGTATGAAGTAGCATATTATGCTAAATGACAAGGAAAGCACCATTTCTTCCTTGTTGCAGTTCTTCAGCATGACGAGTAATGTAAACAAGCGAGTCAAGTATGACCTCTGTGAACCCTTAGAGCCGAGATGTCGTCAAAATCGAACAGACACATTCGGATATTGCACTCGAGAAGGAATCCTAAGTCCTTACTGCACAAAAGAAGGGGCGTCCTGGCCTGTTCAAACCATCTTGACAAACAAAAAGCTGGTATATAGATATAGAATTAATAAGGTATTCAGTAATACTATGTTTATTATAACATCTCCTGTATATTAACATGTATATATAGATAATTTCAACATTATGATATGAAAGATACATATTTATAAATTGCTATGAATATAGGCGGCTGCCCCTGTTGGACAGATGCAGCGCCGGATATAACATAATAACTATTCTATGACTTTTCATCCAAACGAATACAAATAAACGCTTTCACACGAGGCTCACAGGGAGGTAAACCAGTGTGAAACTCCTTAGTGAGTATGAATTGAAGCCTCCCATGCACAGAGAGGGTTCAATACAGGTCGAGACTGGTTTTCAAACAGGCCAGCATGAAGCTCAAATAAACCTCAGCATGCATGCTAAGTAAGTGCAACAGCAACCTCTGGTGGACATGTAGAAAACAACATGTCAGCTTATATTGAAGATTACATTTGTGTTGCCTTATGGAGAGCAATGAGAGCACATTAAATTAGTAATCAGGGCTGCACTGAACACCAATCTGCGATAAATAATGTCAATAACGGCTGATTACGAAGCGTGTCAGCCTCTCAGCCTCCACGCACATTTACCTCACCAACATGTATTTATAAGATTCACATCAGTATCTATGTTAGAGCAGCAGAAACACATATGCACTGTATACTGTATGGACAGAAAACAAGGAAAAGACAATTCCTTCATTTCGTGGAATCTGTGTTGACCTCAATCTGTGGTGGGGCACGGCACTATGTGTTGAGATGTGAGCGAGTGAGCACTTCCTGGGGGGGAAAAACTCCAGCTTTGTGTGTTTGTCGGAGAGTTTAACGCCTCAGGCTCATCCGGCAAGCTGCCCTGACTCCTTGGTAAACTCCACTGTTATCTTCCACAGATGTACCAACCACCAATCAGAAAACCCCTAATAGGAACAAATACGCAACACTAACTTTACATGTAAAAAAGCCTGGCTCCAAAGACATGCAGGCAATGTCCACCATCACGGATGGCTAACTCACTAACGACAAACAAGGAACTTCAGTGAAGCTCAGTCCGGATAAGGACTGATTTTCCTACTTAAAACGCCAGCGGCATGCACTTTGCGTGAAATAAAAGAGGCAAAAAGTGCCTGTTATCTTATTCATAACATAACTCCACGTTTGTCTATGCAAATTCACTCGACACTGGAATTGAGAAGCTCACAATATCCACAATCTGCAAGAAAAAGCAAAAGCCATGCTCTACCTCTATTATAATCTACTGCCAGCTTTCTACACCCAGTACGATCACACCAACTATCTGAAATCTAAAATTCACCCATAAAACAGTCTGCATTTTCTGCTAAAACTCAAGTTTTCAAATGTATAAAATGTGCTGTAAACTCTTTTTACTCCTCTGACATCTCCGCTTCTGCTTTACCCTGCACTGACCACGCTGCACCGGTGCTCGCTTCTGTGTCTTTTAACTGAAAACTTATGTGAAGTGATATTTTATCACCGTGATGTCAAAAGAAAAAAGTTTTGCACCTGAAATGTACAGCAGTGACTGTGGTTCTCACATAGAAACCACCGGATATGACAACGCCGACGCCATCTGGACTGCAGCCACATGCAGTCACAAGCATGTCTGCCTCCCCAAAGCTGCAGAGGGGGACAGTGAGATGCCTGAACAGAGCCCTAGAGGGACCACGATCGAGCCAAAATGAAGCCGTAATGGTCAAAGAGCTGCCATGTTGCCAAACTAGACCACACCAAGAGGGGATGCCTAAAGGCCGGTGAGGTCCACGATGGCCTTGATGAAGATGGTGTCGTCACGGATGTAAGAGTTCTTGGCGTCGAGCTTAGAGAGCGGGCAGAAGAGCGGACAGCCGCTGGCGATGTTCATCTCACTCACGGGTCTTTGGAAGGACGAGGAGGTGACGTCAGGTCTGAAGGCATCGATGATGTGCTCCCTGTTGCTCTGGTCCAGCAGCATCAGAGTCACCTGGACATGAGACAAGAAGGTGAAACCTGAAGAAAGTTCTTATTTATCACATCATTTAGTCAGAGCTTTACATTTTTAATAAACCATGGTTTGAATGTAAAATAAAACACACCATGTAGGGCTGGGTGATATGGGAAAAAGTTTATCATGATATAATTTTTTCATATCAGTCGATATCGATATATATCACAATATAAAATATAATTTAACAGTGCTTATTGGTGGCATATCCTTTGCAATACAATAAGCTACTGAATCTGTGAAGGCTGTATGTCTCTTTGACGTTTTGTCGTACAGCGTTGCGCTTGAGACATGGCAAAATGCCTGTTAAAAAGCCCATGTTGTTTAGGTGTTTTCAAGTAAATACCATTCAGTTATATTGTGTTTTAAAGTGTGTATTCATTTGTCGTATGTGAACGCACCATAGGTGTACCGACGCTATTGAATACACCGCACCTGTGTGTGAGGTGCCGCAGCTGCAAAAGTTTAGTTTTCCTCCTCATGTGGCAGAGGAAAGTTCGTAAATTTCCTCTTACCTGTTTTTACCCAATATTCACCTTCATATCCCGGGTTTATTGTGTGTAAATGACAGAAGTGAGTTTTATGATGTTTCACTGTCCAAGTTAGATGCTATATTGTGTTAATGTATTGTTTACCATAATTTGGCTAATGCTATCTCATGCTACTTGATGTTCATGTTATGTATGGTGTGAGCTGTACTGATTGTTGCTGTGTATCTGTATCTGCCGAACCACAGTCAAATAAATCCACCACTTAACTGGACATTTGTATCTGTGTCTTTTAACAGGGACACACACCATACATCTTGCCGCTCTAAACCCAGCTAAATCATGGAGAACGCCCTTTTCTCCTTTTTAATGCCAACTATCTAAAAAGCATATCATCCATGTTTTATATTGGTATCAAGGGAAATTCAATTTCGATATATGTCGTTATCGTTTTAACGCCCAGCATTAACACCATGATATGAAATCGGATCATATCTGACAGTCCTGGTTCACCATGCAGTTGTTACGAGAAAAGTAAAATAGGCCAGAGTTTGATCAGAGCAGAGAGCTCTTAAAATAAATATATCATGCATCTTTTATCTGCAGCCTTTAATTCAAAGTTCATGAATCAAAATAGCTGTTGTTTTGAAGACCGAAACCTCAGCTTAGTATAGCTTGAAAAGGTTTTTATTAGGTGGTACGGTGTTATTCCAAGAGCTTCCATCACACCACGTGCATGTGTTGAATGACATAACCTGCCGTGAGGAGGGCGCACCTTCCCTTTTTTCATATGCATTTACTGAAAACCAAGGCAGGGAGAGCAGCAGCAAAGACCCCAGGGGTACAGAGCAGAGCAGTTGTAATACACGTGGTCTTTGTTTAATCAGACTCAGCATAAAAGGCGATAATAAGGCGGAGGTGAGTTGCAAAAGCAGTTTGCAAAGGAAGCAGACTGTAGCAGTTCAAATAAAACACCCTCTTTGACATTTACCAACTGGATGTATAAAAGGTGTTAGCTGATATGAGCTGGCATGAGAATCAGCAGACTTTGCGGTCTGCCTGAACTAACATTATGCTTAATTGCAATCCTTAAGAAAACAAGAGCAATCAGAACTTGACTGTTTACTTGATAAAAAAAAGGTCACAAACTGTGTCTGTGGATGGTTTACCTTCTGGTTAAAAGGCCATTTTAGCAGAGCGTCGCTCAGTCCCCTCATCACCACAAAGAACAAGGACAGGTGGCTGCCACGCCCGGTCCCATCTCCATTCAGGTAGATCCGCAGACACATCTTGTAGCCGTACTTACTGGTGTAGAAGGCTGAAAGGAAACAGAGGGAATGTTTAACTCTAGTTATAAGCAGATAAAGAGGCTTCTTTATTAAAGGGCCTTTCTGGCGTGAAATTAATTTAGGGTCAAACACACCGTAACACGGAGTTAGACACCCCCTTGAGAGATGAATGTTGCCAACCACTTGCTTTTCTAGTTAAACCAACTTAAGTAACAACCGCATGATAGCAATACACAACGGTCTAAGGAGCCACGCGCACACCTCAACAAAAACACTACTCTATAGCCACAAATAATGTTCAGAACAGCATCTAACTTCATCAACAGTACATAAAGGGTCCCAGCCATAGTACGAGCAACCAAACATCTTTTTAGCTTTGCCTGATTTCTTCAGCAAAGAGACTAAACACAACTCACCTACTCTCTTCCTGCAGCCGCTTGTTTGTACGGAGACCTCCGGGCGAGTCCATCAACTGCTGCGGGGTGACGCAGCTCATAGAAGAACATTTATGATCATTACTTTATCATTTCCTTGAAGTAATAATCACCATATTAATCATTTTGCACTGCAGACGCGGTAGTTCTTCTGCCTTAGCGTCTCAGTCTGATTGCATTTCCATGAAGAAATGATCATAAATGATCTTCCTTGAGCTGCGTCACCCCACTAATGGACTGGCCCGAGGTCTGGCTACAAAAAAGCGGCTGCTGGAGGAGAGTAGGTGAGTTGTGTTTAGTCTCTTTGCTAAAGAAATCAGGCAAAGTTAAAAAGATGTTTGGTGGCTAGTGCTATGGCTGGGACCCTATATGTACTGTTGAAGAAGTTAGGTGCTGTTCTGAGCATTATTTGTGGCTATAGAGTGGCATTTTGTCTGAGGTTTGTTTATGGCCCCTTGGACTGCTGTGTATTGCTATCCTGCGGTCGTTAATAAAGTCAATCGAGAGAGAATTTCTCCATCTGCTCTGAGATCATGGATACAGTTACCTGGTGAAAACATGGCTGGGGCTCGACCTGCAACAGCATCCTGTCTCTTTTTGGCAAAATCAGAGATCCTCCAAATGAAGACACCGTCAAAGGTAGTGGCAGACATTTCCCTCAGCCGGCCCTCCATCTCAGCAACTGTCAGGTCCTTCAGCCCCACCGTCCTCTCCAGCTGACGCACCTGAGAAGAAACGCACACTTTGATTTAACTAGAATAAAGAACGTGATATGCAAATGTCTAGAACACTTTCTGTATCAAAATTATGAATCTAAAATCCTGTGTTCAGACTGAGTTTTGAGTCCTACCTTGTTACTCAGAGCCTCGATCTTGTCCTGGTCCAGTTTGTGCTGACGGTTGCTGGCCTCCATGGTGGTGGCGAACCTCTCCACCTCTCTGTTCAGGACACACACCACATTCTCAAACGTGCTCGACTTGACTTCCAGCTCTGTACACCTGCGACCCAGCTCGACTACTTTGGTCTTCTCACTGTGGAGCTGCAGCTCCAGCGCTGCACCCACCGAGCTGGGCAGGGGTGTAAATGAGGTGGACACGGACAAAGTGGGAGCCAGAGTGGGAGGTGGAGGGAGAGGAGCGGAGGTGGGGGGGCCAGGGGGGCCGGAGCTGGAAGATGAAGAGGAGGAGGCGGCTGCGGCTCCCTGCACGGGAGGCCCAGAGGAGGTGGTGCTGAGCTGGGAGACTCGGGCCTCCAGCTCCCTGAGGGACTGTTGGAGCTCCACCAGTTTTTGTCCGGCGACTTCCAGTCCCTGGGGCTGCAGGCCCTCCATGCTCACCTTCATGCCCATGATGTAGTGCAGCAGCAGGTTGAGGTGCTCGTAGGCGTAGGCGCGCTCGTGGTCATGGATCTTTTCTTTCTCCACCTACAAACAAGAGGAAAAAAACTGTGATGGAACAGAAAGCACAAACAGACCCACAATTTCAGGATAACGTTCCTCATCATAAAACCTTACAGCACAGAATATCATTTAAAGGGGCAACGCTGTAAACAATATATGATTAAAGCAACATTAAGCTGCCATCCAGACAATAACAAACCCTATTCTGCAGGAATCACAACAGCATGGCTCTGTAGGAGAAGAGTACTGCTGAGAAACTGGTCTGCCTGCAAGTCCCTGATTGATGGCTTTAAGATTAGGGCTGTAAAATAAAATATTAGTATAAAACAAATCAGGATACTTACAGACATGTCACATCCCACAACATGAAATCGACATGGAGTCCTGAATTTGCTGCAGAACTTGATGTGGTCCACATACTAGAAGAAAACAAAACAGGGACATTATTACTGTTATCTAACTTTGCATTTTTTGTGCATGTAAAGTCTTTCTACTCAAGTTAAGACATTTTTTCTAAAAGCTCAGAAAGTGATCAAAAACTACCTTAAAGAATCCTTGGAGAGTTAAGAGTGAAAAATTGCTACTACATCTGCTGCACTATTAAAAGGCTTTAAACATGTTTTCCACATTTTATTTGGATCCAAACAACGATTGCTAAAAATTAATTTGTCTTATTTCAAACATACAATACAGATAAAAAAAATAAGTTGCAAAGAGATAGGAAAATCAAATAATTATTTCAGCAAACACTGAAATATTTTAATTTGCATATGCAAAAAGGAGTTGGAATGACATACTATAGAGAAAGATTTATATTTTTATACCCTCAGACAAAATTATGACCTCTAGTTAGCTGGACGAGACACAGGATCAACATTTTGGGCAACTGGTGATAAAACCTAACATTTCAATCTTTATTTTTATCAGGATATTTTCCGTCTTTGTGCAGAAAAGTCTTCAAGAAATCTAGAAATAACTCCAAAAGAAGATTTGTGTGTGTGCACCGCTTCATAATGAGTAAATTTAAGTGTTTAACTTTTGCATTAAGCTGAAAATTCACTCTTAAATGCTGCTGTATTTGAAAAAGTTCCTATTTTGCATGGGCCGTTCACAGCTGTACCTTTTCTCTGGGTATTTTCTTCTTTGCACAGCCCTCACAGATCATCGGGTACTTGGGACAGATCTCGTCATGAGCCTGTAAAAGAAGGACGGTCATGTTTCTTCTTTAGCTGCAGTGAGGTCATGTTATGTAGTGGCACAGACAGCGGCACTCGCAGCATCAGAGCACATCTAAATAAATCATTTCTTACCTTGATGTTTTTGAAGTGAAATGGCTCCTTGCAGTACTTGCAGTTGAGCGTTCTCTCCGGGCACTCTCGCTCATTATGGCGCTCCTGTTCATTGAAGCGGATTCGTTCTTTACAGGAGGGGCAGGGGATGATCATGAACTCACACTTCCCCTCGTGGTTCATCTGGAGAAAGTAAAGCTTGACTGTACAGAAAACCTCTGTTGCTCCTTGACTATTTATTTTAAAAAAGTGACAAACTACAGGGTTCGAAAACAAAGACGCTAACATCTTTAGTGCCTAAACCTGCAGTTCCTCAAGTGGCCACTGGAGGCTTGCTCCAAAAGTGAGTTAATTTCCATAGAGCCCTGTATTAACATGTTTAACTTCACATTGGAAATCAGTAAGCTTACAGCTCCTAGCAACAAAAAAAACTTTCAAGGTTGTCTTTATTTCCTTTTTTCCTTTACTTCATTTTTTTATTCTTTTCCTCCTAAAACCTTTTTTCTGTTTTGCACTTTTATTTGCTATGATTTATGATATACTTCTCCTCCACTCTTATAATCCATTTATTCTGTTTGGTCTGTCAAAGCACTTGGTAAACTTTTGTTTTGAAAGGTACCATATTATCATTATTCCTATTGTTAAAATAGTTAAAAGAAAAGCGGGTTAAGCCAGCTAAGAGTAGCAAAATCACTTAAGATAACTTAAATCAACATCAATATCTTTGACAGCCATAATTTATATTTTATCTCAGTCAGCAGATGTCCATCCCCACTTTGGACATGTAGTTTTAAGTGTTTTTACTGGGCTGAATTTGAGAGCTTCCATCAATGAAAACTAAAGTACTGATCGGCTACAGAGGTTGAATTTTAAGTATCAGGGAAATCCCTAAAGTAGGTCAAATATCTCCTCACCTCGTAGTCTTTAATGCTGCCTTTCCAAGTGCAACTTTCATTGATACAAACAGCTGAAAGGTGTTCGACTTCCCTTCGAACTGCGTTGTCAGGAAAAGCCTGAAAAGAAAGAAAGAAAACAAACAGAAGTGATGTTATTTCTGCAGCATTCCCTCTCTGGAGTTTTATGATCCCATGATGTATTTATTTTTCAGAGTAATGTCGAGAGAAATGATCACCAGCGGTGTCGTTTGTCCTGCATGTCAGCTCACAAATAAAGCATGAGGAAGCTTTTTTCATTTCTGGGCTGAACAAGCCCTTAAAGACAAGACTGGGAGAGCAGGTTAGTGAGCCGTGAATGTAGGTTTGGAAAGTAGGACAGGGGAGTTCGTTCTCATCCATTATTACAGGGAATAAAAAAAGACCCCTGTCCACTTTGACTGTGTTTGAGGAGAGACTCATAGTTAAAGCAAGTATTATAAGTTCAATATAAACATCAATATGTTCAAATTTATCCACATCATCAGCTCTGTGACTGACACTTCTTTGGAGAAGACATCATATACTTTTATTTGGATGTGTTTTTTTTTTTTTGTCTTGGATTTTGGTTAACTTCCTCAAACTATGCTTTTATTGTGAAATTAATGCCACTTCTGGTTTGGGTTGTAAATAGAGAAAGACTAAATAGTTGGCTGATTGATCCGGCTGATAAGTATCTTTTTGCATTTTTTCTGTCCCCAATAACGTCATATGAATACAAAAGAGTCGCTGGCTGGTTTTATATTCTATTTTGATGTATAGAATAATGCAGTTTTACAATAATGCTAATATTTACCTCAAACCTTTTGTCTTTCTCAGCATTTTCAGAGAGGTGTCAAGCAATCTTTAAGTCCGTACAAGCAATATTTTACTGAGCCAAATATTTTTGTTTTAAGTGTATTTAAAAAAGTGTATAACTAAAATAATTTACATAAGTTCCTAAATTTCATAACTGATTTGTTAGCAATATTTTATGGTTTTATTTTGACAGAACCAAAATAAGTGACTTTTGTTATTATATATTAGCCAATCAGCTAACGGTATTGGCATCAGCCCCCTGAAAATTTGTATCTGTTTTGTAAGTTTTGGACCTGAATAAAAACAGTTTAAAGAAGGTCAGAAAGTAGAAATGTTGAATTGTTTATCGACCCAATGAGGCAAAAGCTCTCAAATTGTTTTTATAATTGCAATAAATCTTCAAATTTCAGTTTCAAAAGTGACGAATCATCTCTCAGAGAGATGCTGCAGCTAGTTTACTGGCAGCTGCTGCTTCTTCTTTGTCTCTCCTCAGTTTCACGACGTGTGGAGACCTCGACTTAATATCAGGATAACTTGTTTAGATATGACTTTATTTTGCATTGAAACCTACTCCACCAGAGTTAAGGGGGAGCATTCTTCGTCTTTGTTGTCTGTGAAGTTACACTGTAGATCTAGACTTTGCAGGAAATCAGATCAGAGGCCAATACTAATAAATATTTCAAAATATTACATGACATTACATTTCTCACATGGTGTGATTCAAAGAAAATTGAGGAGAAGAGGTGAAATAGTTAACAGTGTAGATCAGAGTTTAATAACTTTCTATTTCAGGTTTGCTCTTGCAGCTTTATTTTGACAGAAAAATAACAACTAACAACTTATGAGTAGTGGGAAAAAAGTGCTTATTCCAAGTTCTTTCATTAACAGACTGCGACAATACTAGTTTGGTTTAAGTTCTGTTGAGAAATATCAGTTCACGCTGTTTTCTTCGGCCTTAATTTGATAAAAACTCATGTTTACTCACACATCCTTGTTTCAAAATCGATGTCGGGTCCTCGAAAATATCCTCTTTGATGCAAGCGCTGCATTTCTGGGGTCCATTACTGCAAAGAAGCAACATTTTAAATTAAAAATGCACAAATGACACACCCTACAGTGGTATCTTAATAAATAAAAGAATAAATAAATAAATTAAAGTGCTGTCCTTAAATGCAACTTTGAACCTGCATTTATTTGACAGCTTTTGGCCTCTTTAATGGTTGCTACTTTACCAAGAAAAATACACAAGCACCACCTTTTCTTGCAGCAGCATCAGAGTGATAGTAAGATATAAATATCAGTTATCATGATATGAGATAGGGCAGCCTGAAAAATGTAGTTTTGCACAATTATTTCTTCTCGTTTTGTTGAATTTGGATGTGCAAACTCGTGCACTTTTCATTTTTGCATGCATAAAACACAGATTCCTACACTGCACTGTTGCTTTGTTTGTTTTTTCCCCCCTGAGTCCTACTTCCCTGCTGCAGCCACCCTGTAAATCTCGCTCAGTTCGGCGTCCATCTGACCTGACAGTCCTGTTGAAGCAGTAGGAACAGAAGCGATGTCCACACTGGGCTTGAAACGGTCGTCTGAGTATGTTGTGGCAGCAGTTGCACAGGTGTTTGTCCTCCAGCTTGTTGCCCAGGATCTTCTTGGGGAAGCCGGGCTTGTTGCTCTCCATGGAGGACGGAGGGGACGGTTCCTGCGTGGCCATGGTGTCTGTTCACACGTCACACCTGCCGGAGAGGAGAGGAAAACGTAGAAATGTGGTGAAGAATCAGCCTGATGCAACAGTTAGAGCGATAACCAGTCTGTGGTGACTAATTCTGAGTAATTCATGTGTGTAAAATCTTAAAGCAGCAGCAGCAGCAGTAATGGTTCCTCTCTCTCTCTTTCTGAGGCAGAGCATCACAGGCCAGCTGTAGGCCCACACCCTTTGTTTACATTTCCACTCTGCATCCACGGCTCCTTCAGGCACTAACAGATCTCCTTCCACTCACACAATCCACACTCTGCTCAGCCTACCCAGTAACGACGCTGACAGCCCGCACATCCATTGTCTCCCTCCATCCTCCCTCCATCCTTTCCCTCCTTCCTTGTCGCTGTTGCTAAGCTATCAGCATCCTTTTAGTCAGGAGTGGTACCCATCACGCCGCCACGCCCCTTTGAAATCTGAAGCCTGAAAGACACCCGTTTACGAGCTTTCTGCAAATCCCGTGGCCATGAGCGGAGTTTGCACTTACCAGCGTTTTTTAGTCTAAACTGTCATCGCGTGCACAGGCTGGCAGATCCTCCTTCCTGGTCGCAGGTCGTCGCTCGCGCGCTGTGTGGATCTTACACGTGTTTGTGCAGCCGTCTGGAGGTGTTTTCTTCAACGTTAGCCACATAATACAGATGTGGTGTCCAAAAGCGATGGCTGTTATTGTCCAATATCGCCATTGCACTTTCAGACTGGGTGTTACGTCATGCAGGGGGGTGGGGGGTGGAGGGGTGGACACGGGTTGATGGGCAGACGGGATGTGGAGGCGCGCGTGTCATTGGTTCGGAGCTGAAGAGTGGGCGGGATGCTGCGTGGAGAGAGAGAGCACGGTAAACATCCACGGAGCTGGTGCTATAAATGTGCTCAGCATCTGCTCCTATATACCTCTGTTTGACACAGCTGTCCTCACGTGTGTGTGTTTTCTTCTATCTGTATGGTCAACTGTGCTGCATCATGTCGATTTAAAAAATGAATTACTAAAATAAGATATTAGGGGGAATAAAAAACACTTGTTATAATAAGAGGAAAAACAACATATAAGGGGATTATGACAACAAAACAAGAACATGATAAATCACATTATACACTCTGTTCAGCAGGGGCGTGTTCAGACTTTTTGATAAGGGTGTCCAAGCCCAAGCTCTGACCAGTTTGGGGTGGCCATGACCATCTGACATTTGTTTGTAATACTTTTATTTGGATGTTTTTGATTGTCTTGGATTCTGGTTTACTTCCTCAAACTATGCTTTTATTATGAAATTAATGCCACTTCTGGTTTGGGTTGTAAGTAGAGAAAGAATGATTGACTGGTTGGCAGATTGATTGGCTGATAAATATCTTTTTTCATTTTCCTGTCCCAAATAACATCACATGAATTGTAAAAGAGTCACTGTCTGGTTTTATAAAAATGTTATTGATATATACAGAGTAATGTAGTTTAACAATAATGCTAAAAAAACTAAAAGTAAATAATGACAATAAAACTAACGGTAAATTGTGCTGCATCATATCCATTTAAAAAAATAATGAATTACTAAAATATTATATCAGGGGAAAAAGACACTTGTTAAAATAAGAAGAAAAACTGCATGTAAGGGGATTTTGACAACAAAACATTAACATGGTAAATAACATTATGCACTCTGTTCAGCAGGGGTGTATTCTGATTTTTTAAAAGGGTGTCCAAGCCCAAACTCTAACCAGTGGTATAGCTTTGGGGTGTCCATGACCATCTGACATCTTTTTTTCTGTAAATTGATGAAATAAACAGTAAGTTTAAGTGTAAAAGTGAAGTGCTTGACAAATATGCCAAAAAAAAAAAATGCAATATATATATATATATATATATATATATATATATATATATATATATCAACTGTACGAGCCATTTTATATATAATATTAATGGGGTTTTGTGCTAGAAGTGCGTCCAGATAGTGACAAAAATTCAGGTCAGCATAGTCACAACATTTAACATGATTATAAACAAAAATGAACATGATAACAACAACAAACTACACACACAGGGAGATTAGAGCGTGGAAACCAAGAAGTTAAAAATGTTAAACAAAAAATTTACTGTATCTGTATTAAAAATTAAAATAGATGTAATCCATGGAGTGTCCAAGTTTGGCCACTCCAGTCGTAACAGTATGGCTCCACCATGAGTTATAACTTTTTTTTTAACATATCCTTTTAACAATCCAAAATCATAATGTGTGTTAGAATAACGTCAACAAATTTAATTGAATTTAATCCCAGTTTAAAATTGAAGCTACAATTTTTACTTTCTAATTTTCTCATTCACAAAGTTTTGAAAAAAAATTATAAAAAATGTATTTTTGACACTTATTAATTGTGCAAGAGTTTGCTTGAACCTAATGAAGAACTCTATCATCATCAGGTGTACCTGTCCTGTGAAATAGATGGACGAAGTTTGTTTTTGTTTTTTTACAGGTTATTACCTCCGCCAAGGAGGTTTTGTTTCGGTAGCGTTGGTTTGTTTGTTTGTTTGTTTGTTTGTTTGTTTGTTTGTTTGTTTGTTTGTTTGTCTGTTAGCAACTTTACGGAGAAGGTTACCGACGGATTGACCTGAAATTTTCACCAGAGGTGCGTCTCAGCCCCAGGAGGATCCCATTTCATTCTGGTGGTGATCCGGATCGCCTTCTGGATCCAGGAATTTTTTGAAGGGTTCTTTATCATTGTGAGATAGGGCAAATTTGGGAATTTTTGCATTTAACTCTATAAAAATGGTCAGAGTCTTTAGTAAAAAAATTACACAAAAAGATCTATATATAGTGTATTTTTACTAGCCTATATTTAAAAAGAAAATCTACTGACCTCGTCGAGACTTTGGGAATAGCTAGCTTAAAAGTGATGCATTGACATTGTATGATGAGCCCAAAGTCCTGCTGTGGTTCTGTCCTGCATGTTTAAGAGCGGAAAAGCTCATGTTATTGTGAGAAATCTCTGCGTTTAGTTTTCGTCAAAGATGTTTTTGTCTTTTGGGCTTTTTAAAGACGTCAGCCTGAAACTTATTTGACGGTTTTTTTTACATTAACCAATGCTATCAGGTGAAAACAGACATTGAACACAAGACATTTTCACTCTAATTACAGCGAAAGAGGCGGATTAAAGCAGTGAAATGAAGTGTTAAAATAAGGGACACCATAAGTTTCAAGATTTGTCAGTCATCATAAAATCAAACAAAATTAACTAAAAATATATATCAAAGTTAAACCTATTTTTATTAAAGTGCTTCAATAGGCCTAAGTTACCAAAAATCCTATGAATTACATTTAAACCTGTTTAAAAAGTTACAAAAATAGACAATATTAAGTTAAAAGAAATGTATTATGTACAGGCTTTAAAATTAAGTTTGATAAAGTTCCACATAAATATGTTTTTATGTTTTCATGAATCAAGTGTGTGTTTTCTACCACAATATTTAAAACTTCATTATGTTTTTAACAGGGAAAAACCCACCTTAAGTGTAATGGAAACACTGTCCTTTTGTAGAAATCCGTTTTTATCAAACTGAAAACTGAGGATTTTCTTATTATTGAATCCTGAAATTATGCAGTCTTTCCCCCATGAAATAAAATGACTGAAATAGACATACCAAAAATATCAATTCTTAACGGGGGTGTTGCATTGATGTTAATTGTTTCTATTGCACATTAACCTGCTGATTAGAGACTAAATACAAATTCAAATGTATTGACTTTCTCCTCTTGATGATACTGGTGTTACAGATGATTCCTTCATGACCTTGACCACACAGTCAAATATTACAGCTTGTTTAATTTAAATGTCTGCGTTGTTTTTGTCTTCAGACCCACTGCCGACGCAGCAGATGGACCTCGGTCCTTAAGGACAGCTCTAAATGGCCCAGTCCCAGGCTGCTGCTCAGGAGGGTTGGGGCAACCCCCACGCCCCCTTCCAGACCTCGTGGTGTAAGTAGAAAATTACACTGACAACATAAAGAGGCCGTTAGCATGCCTTCAAGGCAACAAACAAAACTTTTATAGTCTGAATAATTTTGATCATAGAAATGTGTTTATGAATTTGTCTTTTATTTTAATTTTCTTGAACTGAATTGTATTCATGAATTGTAGTGTTAAAATAAGGGACACCTTCATAAGTTTAAAGCTTTGTCAGTCATCATAAAATTAAACAAAATGAACTAAAAAGACATCATAGTTAGACCTGTTTTTATTTTAAAGTGCTCCAATAGGCCTAAGTTACCAAAAAATCCTATGAATTACATTTAAACCTGTTTAAAAAGTTACAAAAAAAGACAATATTAAGTTAAAAGAAATGTATTATGTACAGGCTTTAAAATTAAGAGTTTGATAAAGTTCCACATAAATATGTTTTTATGTTTTCATGAATCAAGTGTGTGTTTTCTACCACAATATTAAAAACTTCATTATGTTTTTAACAGGGAAAAACCCACCTTAAGTGTAATGGAAACACTGTCCTTTTGTAGAAATCAGTTTTTATCAAACTGAAAACTGAGGATTTTCTTATTATTGAATCCTGAAATTATGCAGTCTTTTCCCCCATAAAATAAAATGACTGAAATAGACATACCAAAAATATCAATTCTTAACGGGGGTGTTGCATTGATGTTAATTGTTTCTATTGCACATTAACCTGCTGATTAGAGACTAAATACAAATTCAAATGTATTGACTTTCTCCTCTTGATGATACTGGTGTTACAGATGATTCCTTCATGTTACAGCTTGTTCAATTTAAATGTCTGCGTTGTTTCTGTCTTCAGACCCGCTGTCGCCGCACATGGACCTCGGTCCTTAAGGACAGCTCTAAATGGTCCTGTCCCAGGCTGGTGCTCAGGAGGGTCATGGTAGCACCCATGCCCCTTTCCAAGCCTTGTGGTGTAAGTAGGAAATTACACTGACAACATAGAGAGGCCGTTAGCATGCCTTCAAGACAACATACAAAACTTTTATAGTCTGAATAATTTTGATCATAGAAATGTGTTTATGAATTTGTCTTTTATTTTAATTTTCTTGAACTGACTTGTATTCATGAATTTATTTCAAAGATGTGAAAACCAGAAAACCAGTTCTGCAGAGTTCAGATTTTTGAATTTGTCGATTTTTCGGTCTCAGGTCCGAGAGATGCAGCACAGCCTCGTCGGGTCCAGTCCAAGGCTGTTGCTGAGGATGGACGGCCCTCCAGGTGTCTCCTCCCCCGAGCACAACCAGGTCCCTTACTCTCTTCCTTTCTCTCCCTCTCTCTTTTCTCCTCTCCCTCCTCTTCTCTCTCCTATTGCCTCTCCCCCCTTCTTTCCATCTCTCTCTTTTTCTAGCTCTTCTTCTTCTTCTCCTCCTGTCTCTCCTCCTGTCCCTCCTCCTGTCTCTTCCTCTGGTAGTTGCTCTTTTCGTTCTCGTGGCTCCCATACTCGTCGCCCCTCTCTGTGCTCCTCTCCATCCAGGTCACAGAGGAGCCCTGCGGGACCTTCCCACAGCTCCCCCCCCTGCCTGCCCTCGCTGTTGACAGAGGAGGACCAGTGGCCAGGTCTGCAGCCCGAGGACCCGGAGGAGCTCTCCAGGAGGAAGGAGCGGTGGACGGCCCCACTGAGAACCCCTACACCCCCTCCATCCACCATCCCTCCATCCAACCGGCTCATCTCCACTGCTCCTGACACCAAGTGGAAGAGGAAACTGAAAGCGCTCCTCAAACTCAGGTGCAGGGGGTCCAAGGTGACTCCCAAGAGGACTGCTGGACGGATGGGAAACAACCGTCCAAGAAAGGGTCCTTTAGGGCGTCACGCTGGGCCGTAGTTTAATTAAGCTATTTAGATAATTAAGATAACTTTAGTTGTTTGTTAAATTATATAAGTTAAGGTAGAATAAGTTTCTTAGTTATGATATGTTAAGTTATAGTAAATTAAGTTGTTTAGTTTTGATAAGTTAGAATAAGTTAAGTTTTAGTTTAGATAAGTTAGAATAAGTTAAGTTTTAGTTAAGATAAGTTAGAATAAGTTTGGCTGTTTAGTTAAGAAAAGTTATGAATACACAGACTGTTCACTGACTCTGCTAACCACCTGCTCTTCTCCAGCTCCGACCTCTCCCCTAAATATGGCTGAAGCAGAAACTTTAGAAATTGCGTTGTTTTGTAATGTGGCATTAGTTAGCCTCCAGCTCGTCTGCAGCTCCTCTTCTCCTCCCCTAAAAAAACACGAATCGCTCGCTCCTCTCGTGCTCGCGCTCGCTCCTCTCCCGCTCGCTCTCCTCACATGCTCGCTCCTCTCCCGCTCCTCCACTCGCACTGGCTCCGGAACAAATAAACCTGAATCAATTAAAAGCAGAAAAAAGAACTTCACCTTGGACTCATTATGCATTACCCTAAAAGTCCCTGGTTGTGTTGTGTGGTTATTTATTTTGATGTTATGTGTTGGGATGTTTTGTGTAGTTGCACGATTTTAGTATAATGTCTTGTAATGTGTTGTTTTGTTCCATGAGTTGTGTTTTCATGCATGTGTTTGTGTTGTGATGTCTTGTTTTTTTCATGAATTGTGATTCCTTCAAAGTTAGAGCGTGTCTTTTACTTGATTTTTTCACTTAGTGGATAAGTCAGTCTAAAAGGTGAGTTTGGTTCCTCCAGAGTGATTTTTCAAGGTTAGTGTAGGACTCTTTTTCATTTTGGTTTTCTTTAGGGAAAGGACCTCAATTAAGAAGAAACCCCCAGAGGAGCCAAGCAGGAGACTGAAGACGCAGGAGGACTGAGCATACCAGAGACAGGCCCATGAAGACAAGATGAATGACGGGGATAGGTACTGAGTGTTTCTGGAAATTTGAAGGTAAATAACTCTATCAATACTTAAAAGGTTAATAAGTACAATATGCTGGCTTTTAAGAAAAAAAATACACATTTTCACAATAACTGAAGGGCTGTAATTCATGTTTGTTTTCAGGTAACTCCAAAGAGTCAAACACCCAAAATGACTCTAGAGGAGCCCAAAGAAGACGACCAACCCTGTGATGAACAAGACGACATGGAGAAATAAAGTAAGTAAAGCTTGATGAATGTGTCTTATATCATCAAACTGTTGTCTTGGTGTGCTGTCTTATTCATATAGTTGGTCTCTTTTTATTTACCAATTGCAGCATCATGCCTAGAAAGGAGAGGAGAAGAAGGGAAACAGAAAGGGAGCTACAGCAGGCAGCCCAGGGGAGCAGCTCTCTACTCTCCTGGATAAAAGCATCCACCAGCAGCAAGGAGGAAGATGAAGATGAAGATAAAAGGTCAGAGTCAAGAGTCATGTTCACTGTTTAGGGCATTTTAAAGCTCAGATTTTGAAGTTGAACTGTTCCTCTAATTTGACTGAAATATCTTAAAAGCTGTCTACACAAAGTGGTTTGGCTGTACTAAATTAGGCATTAAGCTATTTTAGCTAATGATATTATTTTGTACCAACAAGTTATTTCCATGTTACAAGACTTGCAGTAATCTTGTATTTACCTTTATAGGCTATATTCAACCTTAGAAAAATAGACTAAAACTATTATTATTCTATTCTAGGCAGCTACAGCAGGGAAGCAGTCGACCAACGACCAGCATGATTCTCCAGAGTCATCTACAGATAAAGACGAGTCCATAGCAGCACCAAGTCTATGCAGTTACATAATCAGAAGTGCTGTCTGATGACCAAAATGAGGGAGAACAAGAAAGGCATGATGTCGCAGCTGTATTTCAAAGAGATGATGTATTAAAAATAAATATATTTAAAATGAAAACAAAGTTTCAGGTCTGTCTAAATCCACCATAGGGATAGATAATCTATCATTACCTCCGCCAAGGAGGTTATGTTTTTGGTAGCGTTGGTTTGTTTGTTTGTTTGTTTGTTTGTTTGTCTGTTAGCAACTTTACGGAGAAAGTTACAGACGGATTGACCTGAAATTTTCACCAGAGGTGCGTCTCAGCCCCAGGAGGATCCCAATCAAATTTTGGTGGTGATCTGGATCACCTTCTGGATCCAGGAATTTTTTTGAAGGATTCTTTATCATTGTGAGATAGGGCAAATTTGGGAATTTTTGCATTTAACTCTATAAAAATGGCCAGAGTCTTTAGTAAAAAATTACACAAAAGGATCTCAATGAGTTTTATGAGGTATCAAAGGTTGATCCTGATCCAGACAAAATTCCGGATACTGTGAGCTGCTTGGCGGAGGCCTGCGCTCTCTGAGTGCTTTTCTAGTTTATTTATTTATTTATTGAATTTATGTATTTTTGCTCGCTCTATCTTGTTCTTCGCTTGTTTTATTTGTTTTTATGTCACAATGTACAGCACTTTGGGTACCCCTGTGGTTCTTTTAAATGTGCTATAGAAATAAAGTTGGTTGATTGATTGATAGTAATTGAACATATTATATAAAGGTTATGGCTATAATGATATAAAAGGCGGGGTAAGGAGGAAATAAATCAATGTTTGTCCCATATAGGTCCATGAAATCGCCTTAAATTTAACATGATAAGAGAAGGATAACAAAAGAGGAGTTTGGAAGAAACAGATTATTGTAGATTTACTGTATAAACCAGTTTAAAACCAGTACTTGTTCTGTATTTTAGACTTGTTTACCAGCCTGCGATGCTGCAGGCACTCTAAGCGTTGAATTGTTTTATCCCAGATTGTTGTATTGGTCACATAAGCCTCTCAAACATTTTCAAAACTGACACAAAGAATAAATCAGGAGCTGAAAAAACCCTGAAAATGAGTCACAGCAGGCAGAGTGGGAGTGAAGAGGAGCAGAGGAGGAGAAGAACTGCAGACCAACAAAGCCACAAACACTGTTTATGTTAGGATGATAAAGCAGAGCATACAGTAAACTTTACACTGTCATAGTTTAATTAACTTGTACTTCATAAGAGTATTTTACATGGGTGAGTGAATCTGATGAGAAACACTTTCTATTTAAGAACAAAACTGGCAAAAGTTCCTTTTTTTCCTCCAGGGGGCGCCAGCAAACAAACCAAAGTTCCTCAGAGCAATTTTCTCTTTTTTTTCAGAATATATCCGGGCTTTTAACACTTTGAGAGGTGAAGAGAGAGGGCCACCGTTTGGATTTTTAAAGGCTGCCTGTATTTAGGACTATAAAGAGTGTATAAAAGAGGCACAGTTTGTCAAAGCAGGGCCCCCTTGTGGAGTTTTAAGTAGATTTTTAAAGGCTTATGAATAAAAATGTTGCAAATGCATCATAAGTGTGAGTGTTACATGCTATGAACCTAAACAAGATTAAGTTATTAGTCCTCAACATTATTGATTGGTTTTGTAATTGACCTAATATGTACCACAACAATTGACAAAATGTGCTAGCAGGTGGCTAACGGCTAACAATACAAAAAAGAGGATTTTGTCTTTCATTACATCTTTTCTTCAACTGTCTGGTTTTGTGAACTACTCTGCAGTCTAACGATGCATTTATGATTTTCAACTGCAGCATGTGAACACTAGTGCAGAAAATCGATCCATTATCCTGGTATGATAGTCTGACTATGAGAAGTTTGATTTAGTTAATGCATAATCAAAATTTCATCAGAATAATTGCACGCTATATCCACACCTAGCGGTCACTGCTCTCTTTTTTACTTCCAAAATAAACCCTATATTTGACAGAATAAGCCCTCTGAGGCTGTCTCCTACTGTTAGGTTTGTGACTTTACATGACGAATAAACACTTAAAAGTGAATTATATTAAACGCAAAATGATAGTCATACGTGGAAATCTCAACACCAGTCAGATTTGCTTTATGTGCAGAATACTGAGAGAGATGACATACTTGCTCAAACTCCTTCAGCCTGGGCCTGCAGGCTGATACTGGGAGGTGGTGGGTGCAGGACTGGTACTACTGGTGCTGCAGAAATAACAGAGCAGAATGGGAAATACTGTAAACCCTGCAGCTGGAAGATTCTACCAAAGTGGGAGGATTTATCTGTCAGGCAATTGTGAGAAAGTTGTGTGCAGTTAGGTTTGCATGTCTGAACTAGCTTACAGGTGCTGCTCATAAACCATATGGGATATAAGGGACGACATTTGCATCTTATACGCAGTGGAGTAAAGATATACATTTGCATGGAAAGAAAATACAGCAGAAACTTCAAAGTGTTGTCCTAAAGTAAAGTCAGTTCTTCCTCTAGTGCCGTCAGTAAGCTGGTGTGACCCCCGTGTTTGCAATCGTCAAAGTTATATAACACTAATTTGCATCTATTTGTTTGTGGTTTGTGTGTAAAGAAACTTGGTGAGGGCGTTGGTGCTTCCATAAAAAAACAATAAAACTCAAAGTAAGGTTCACAGAAACTGTGTGGGAGACATTTAATTCAGAACTGTGATTCTTTACAGCAATTAAAGGCACAGTTTAACTTCACCACACCACCATATTTAAGCATTTCCAATGCTCCTGAAATGACTGATAGCTCCTTTAAGACACCAGCACAGTGGAAATAATCGAGACAAACATAAAGAAAAGAGACAAAATAATCAGTCAGAAGCTCTTCAGTAAGAAACGTGACTAAATCTGTACTCCAAATGATTAATAATGTACAGACTGTGCTACATTTACAGTAAAAATGCCTTTTAAAGTCATGTTTTCACCATTTATATTAAAATATCCCCAAGGACATTAGCTTTAAATTTAGTTAAAAGTTATTTTACAAACATCCCTCGCTGAGTGTTTTATATACATGACATAAATAAAACTCATTGGCATCAGATTCATTCAAAAATAAATCATTTAAACAGCTCAAGTTGACCTTTTCAGAAATGTTTGGAGAACATTGAAATAAAGACCTTTGAATGATAAAAATCCCACCGCTGTGAAATGCAAAAATCTAAGCTCTCACATAAATACTACATTAAATACTCTGCTCTAACACTGACTCACTAACAGGCCACTTCAGACAGGAGACAAGCAAAAAAAAGCTATTATTGCACAATTTAAGAGTTCAAAGTTCAAACAGTTTAAGAAGCTTTCTGATCAGCTGACCACGCTTTGGCAACAAGTCAATCACCAAAGGTCGTCTTCAGTGAAAAATCAACATTTTACAGGAGGAGGTGAAGCTGCTTTAAGTCTCCTCAAGCAGTTTCTGAAGGTTTCTTTGAATCTGAAACACATTAAAAAGACATTTAAAATCATTTTAGGGATCAGCATGTGAACTACAGAACAGGTGAGGGTTTACATTTCTTTTAAATGATCCCTTATTAGTTTTGAGACTGACACAACGTTAATGTCTGTTTATTTTTAAGAAAGTTTACAGTTAGCTAAACTAAGCCCAACTACGCTCATTCGCCCAGACGTTTGGATTCCCCATTTTAAAATATTATTTCAGCTTTGAATCATGGCGGTCAAAGTGTCAAATTCTTACGAAAGAGGATTAGGGCCACAAGAAGAGAAAAACATAATTACAGGAAGGAGATTTTTTAAATTTCCATTTCGAGATTAAAGTGGAAATTTGAAAAAGTCAAAATGAAAAAAATCAAAATTTCAAAATTAAAGTCCAAACTTCGAGATAAAAAAAAACTGAAATTACATGAATTAAATCAAAATCTTGGGATTAAAAAAGTCATAATGAAGTAATTGTTTACGAGAATAAAGTCGTAATAAAATCATTACTTACGAGGATAAAGTTTTTATAAAGTCCTTATATTCTAACCTGTTGTTTAAGATGACAGTCTCGAAGACTACATTTTTCTTTTTCTTAATGCAAACCTAATACTCCATCCTACATTCTCAACTCAGGAAAACTGTAGTCTTAGAATGTCATGTTAATGATGTGATCACAATATTAATGGAAAAAAAAACAACACAGTCAGACAAATAAAGGAAAGAGTTAAGAGACATGTAACTTCGTAAACGTACATGTGATCGTCTAATTCTGACAATGTTTCATTTACGTCACCAGCCCAAAACTTTTTTTAACAAAAACCGAGTATTTGTGAGGCTTTTATTTTGACATTTTTACCATCTTGAGTTTCTCACATTAAAAAAAGCTTTTATTTTTAAATTTCAAAATCATCAAAACTTCACAAACCTTTTCTAGCTTGAACAAGTTGTTGGACAACTCTCCATAGATCTCGGCATTCGCCTCGCTCTGCGACCTCTGGCTCACGGCGTGACTGCAACAACATTTTGACAAAGACCTTTACCAAAACTGTGGTTGTTTTGGAGATAATAAACAACTGCCTGAAAGCAATCTCATTTCTCTTACTCGGTCCGAAAGTGTTCCCCCACGGACACCAGCGAGTTCAAACGATGCTCCAGAGCCACAATCTTGAAGGCCATGTAGCAGGAGGACAGGACGAGGACGCTGACCCTGTGACGACACACATACACACATACAACTATTTGAGCACCAAACACCCTGAACAATCGCGAACACGATATGAATTGTGAATAGTCTCGCCGGAGCGCTGAGGCCTCTCGTGTTCCACATAATGAAAGGTTACTCACAAAAACAAATAGATGAGGAGGATGGTGTGTAACGACATGGGCTGAGAGGGTTTGTCTTTGAGGTTTGTTTTAGGAGATCCTGCAGAGTGAAGCATAAATAAGGAGGTTAGGTGGATAATCAAAAAAGGAGTAAAAACTGCAGCTTAAAGCTCCTGTGAGGAGTTTTTGGCTGGTTGTGAAACAGATTGAATGATACAGATGCATTTACATGGTTTAGAAAGACATAATATGTATGTATGGTTATTTTTAATGCCTCAAAATTCTGCTGCAGGAGAGGAGTCCGATGAGGTGATGAAAAGCAAACAGGTGTCAATAGTTTTATTCTTTTTACCCCCAAATATGACGTTTAAAATGTTGTTTTTTTTCTTCTCATATACATAACCGAGGAAAAGCTTCTCCATTCATCCACTAGAGGCGCCAAAGTCGACACAACCCAAAAGCTTTCACAGGGAAAACATGACAAACTATTAGAGCAACATGAAAGAAAGAATTTCTTTTTGTACTTCAAGAAAAGAGTCTTTATGTTACCAGATTAAAGTCCAAGAACATCAGGTTGTAATGTTAGAAAAATAAAAGTCATTATGTGTCGTAAAATAACTTTAGCAAACGATTACCCTCATAACGCTGTTATGACGAAACACTAAGTTTCTTGTCAACAGAAAAACCCTCAGTACAATTTAAGCAGACACTTATAAACACATAAAGTAATACTACAGCTTTGTTGTGATTTTACTCGCATAACAATATGACTTTGATCACATTTAATAACAACTTTATTTTCACAACACAATGGCTTTACAACAAATAAATCCTCATAGGGTTATGACTTTGTCACAACTTTATTTTTATGACAATATCACTTAATCTTTTAACAATACAACTTCATTTTCTTATGACACTATTCATGTTATTATTTCCCTTTAATGTGGCTTTAATACTCTGTCAGAACTAACAAACCAGCAAAGGAAAATCTCACTAACTGACACTTTTATTAATTAACTCTTTATTGAGGGTAAAGTTAACTTTTTGTATTATAAAAAAGGTTTTAACTTTCAATGGAGCAAGATGTTTCCCCCAACCAGGGGGCCTTCATTTTCGCTACCTCAGCATTTATTTTCATTATTCTTTACTTACTCTCAGCAATTAGCAGATGATAATTTAAAGGTTGGAAAACATTTCTGAACTGTTCCTTTAAAAAGACAGCTTTGAGACTGATTCATTTACTGGTTTCTATGAAAGAGGATTAAGGCCACATGAAGAGAAAAAAATAATAACAGGAAGGAGATTAAAGTCAAAATTTTGAGATTAAAAATTAAAATTTCAAGATTAAAGTTGAAATTTCAAGATCACAAATTGTCGTGAATAATGTTGAAATTTTGAGATTTAAAAAATTGTAATTTTGAGATTAAATTCAAAATTTTGAGACTAAAATCGACATGAATAAAGTCTAAATTTTGACTTTTTAAAATTTCAACTTTAATCTCAAAATGGAAATTAAAAAAATCTTCCCTCCTGTAATCATTTTTTCTCTTGTGGCTCTAATCCTCTTTCATAGGTTTCTACAGCTTCATTATGCTTAAAAAGGTCCGGTGTTAAACTACCGTTTTTAAGGGCGCCTCCGTGTATTTGGCTTGGTGTCTGCAGGTGGATGTCCGCGTGGACCGAAACCTCCCCGGTCTTCACCGTGCTTAGAAACGGGTCAGGGAAGTCTACTCAAACAAAAACAGACAGATCCCCGTGACTCCGGCCGCCTCCTGCCCAGTAAACATTATCGCTCACAGACTGAAGAGAAAGGTTATCCTCATGTGAGATTAAAAAGCTGTCCTATTTTACAATAAGCTTGAGATGTCATTCAACAGTCGCCGCTGCTTTTGTGCAAACTGTCTCTGTTACGACAAAGTCTCAGGAGCTCCAGTTTCCCTTTGGCTCCTCTCCAAATATTTGCAAACCAAAGACAGTCTGAGCCGCAGCGCTACCTGACACGCTGGGCAAATTATGAGATGGTAAAAAAGTGTGTCAAGCAAGATTAGATTATGAATGCAGCTGCTTTGAGAGCACAGAATAATACATGAAGCGTTGAGGGTGGAGCACAGACCTGTAATTTTGTCATAATCTGGCGTTTGGGACCCGGAGCTGCTGCTCTCCATCATCTCCTCCCGTCTCTGTTGAACGACACCGTCGAGGTCAGAGAAGTCTCCAGAAAAGTCCTGCAGAGCACATACAGGATGATATATACAATAGGCGCCACATGCAGAGAGGGGGGTTGTATAGCATGAGCACGAGGCCACTCTGGAGGTCTTTCATCTTACAGGAAAATATTTTTTAAATCTGCTTGTGCACGGTCAGGACGTTTTGTACAAAAACACAGAAAAAGAGGACAGACTGACCAGAGGAAGTTCGGACGGGCAGTCCACCCTGAAGCTGTTCTCACAGGAGGAGTTAGTGGGGCTGCCACAGGCCTTATCCACCTGAAACAAAAGAGTATACACTTGTGAGTTTATACAGTAAAAAAAACACATCCTCTATCTGAAGCAGTGCAATCTGATGTGGTTAAGGGCAGCAAGTTTAATGTTTTAATTTTCATTTTGAGGGTACATTTTGTCCGAAGAGACCTATCTGCATGTGACCTACTTATCTTAAAGTCCCACTCAGATCTTTTTTTTTTACTACTTGAAGTTTTTATTCTAAATCACATTACCTGTGTCATTTTTAAGAGCTTTTCTTCTGCAGAGATCTAGTAGCTTATTAGCAATTCACCTCTGAGTCGTGGGTGGAGTCAGCACTGCCCTGCACACTCCTCTTCACTCCTCAGGTAACATAGGAGCTATTCAGCTCTCGGACACTAATGTCTTTAGGGACATGATGAAAGCTATATCATAATTATCTTTCTTATGAGCATTATCATAAGAAAGCCCATGTTCTGCTTATTGTCCTCTCTATCTACCTGAGTCTAAAGGGGCTCTGGGGGCGGAACTTGGATTTGTGACATAGGAAATCTCACCTTTATCTGACCCTGCTGTTTGGGTCTGCCAGAGATTCACAGTCAGTGCGTTCACATGCACAGCTTAATCAGACTAATCTCATGATTCGTTCATTTCGCTGAAATCAGACTTCTCTCCTTGTCCGCATAAACATGCAGCTGAGAAAATTAAATTATTGACGTGAACGTGTCCTCCCCATAACTAGGGGTCAATATGGCTCTTTTCAGTGGCGCTGTTTCCAACAACAACTGTCAACAGCAACAGCAGGTCCATGCCAGAAGTCAGAAGTGTCTTCAACTGCTGCTGATCATTTTCGAGCAAGAAGGTGGAGCATTGTACAGCGTTGTTTTTGTCGTACATGATGTATGCGCTACTTTTTCTGCAGATTAGATGTACACCACTCCTCTTCTCTGGTGTTTTTGATCATGCATGGTCTTATCATTATGCAGGTTGCATTGTAGAGAAAAATTCTAATCGCATAATCTGGGTGTCTTAATCTGAGTTCTCCAACTACGATCTGAGTTCTCAAACTCTGATTATAGTCAGACTAAGGTGTTTACATGCACTTTCAGTTGTCTGGTCTTAATAACAATAAAGAAATAATTTGGTTTTCTTGAGTGTCATGTAAACATACTGAGTGATTTGAATGCAGAAATACTCTGAAATGTAATTTGGCACTTACTTTTCTCATGATATGTCCTGTAGCATCAGAAAAATGCTGTGTTAACATGTAGACAACAAGAAAAACATGATTTTCATCGGAGTGGGTCTTTAAACACTCTGCAACCTCAGTCCTCAAGTTTAAAGAGAAAAGGACCCCACCTGAGGGAAACATCTGTCCGTTCACTGTGCCTGTGTCTGGGGTTTAATTTTATGTCTGTTTGTCACTTGGCAGATCCCAGACTGTTTGTGTGCCCCCCTTTTTCCAGTCTCTCTCTCTACCATCGATATAAATCTGCCCCTATTTATGTTTCCTGTGCGATGGTGGAGACTCTAAATGGGTCACAAGCTTCTCTCAGAGCCAGAGGTGAACCCTTCAAACTGGTTTTTGTTGAGCAAACAGACCTGAGTGCAAATATTTTTATTTAATGTGATATGAAGCAGAACCTGAAGATACTCGGCGTTTTAAAGGACATTTTAATCATTTGTAGAAATAGTCAATCCTGCAGGAGTCGGAGTGCTTCTACAGTCTGACATAGAGATGTTGTTGACATAACAATCACAGGAAAAATCCAAGGCACTCTCTGTTTAAACAATTAAAATGCCTTTATTGTTACAGCATGGTTGTGTTAGACCTTAAAACAAACTCCAGTATGAAGACGTGTTAGAAGTTTGTTTGAAGGTCTAAGATTTTTACTCTTAATTTATCTGTTCAAAAAAAGGAGGTTTTAAAACTTAGCGTGATTTACCTCCAGATGAACGCAGACAGACCTCAGGAGTTTGTAGGTGGTGTTTCGGGAGAGGAAGGACACAAACACATGCTGGAAAACAATAATTCGGAGTGAGTAAATGCTTATAATTTAAAGGGAAAGGACTAATCGTGAGACCAGCCTTCTTACCTGATAGCTGGAGGTTTCTATCACGAGGGCGTTTGGCACTAATAACGCAGTTTTTGTCTTTTTGATGAACGTCACAGACGCCACCGGGATTGAAATCTAGGGGTTAAAATACAAACATGTAACAAGCTCCAAAATATGAGCGGTGATTGTTGTCACTGTGTCGCACCTTTGTGTCTCTGCCGAAGACTTTGGAGTAGAAACAGATCCAGTTATCAGAGACGTACATTTTTCCCTGGTATAAAATGTCTCTCTGGAGGGCACACGTGTAACCTGTTGGCAAAAAAACGAGACAGGCTTCACGTTTAGAGCGGCAGTTCCTCATTTTTTCTTGCATTCATGTGAAAAAATGAATCTGACACTCACTTTGCTTGAGGAGCTCATCTTTGCTGACCTCCTTGAATAACTTATGAAAGTGGGTGTGTGTCTTTGATAGCTACAGGAGGAACAGAGCAGATATTTTTTTCGCTGAGAAACCTGCAAAAACTTGTTAAATTTGCATTAAACCTGGTTGAAAGTGTGGGAACAGACTTGCCCCCGCTTGGCTGGGCTGGGGTTTCTTCCTTTCAGACTTTGTCTCACAGTCACTTGGACTCTGTGCCGCTGGAAGTTGCTCCGCAGGTTTTAATCTGGCAAATAAAAGGTGGCTGTTAATGTTTAAGTAGCAACCGTACACCTGAGAGGAGGACAGGTGACACATATATGAACTCCTGCGGGGCCGTAAAGCGTTATAACTCCTGATAAAACGTCCTCGCTCGGACTGATCCACACAGATTACATCACTTTGAATCAGTCGTATGTTGCTGTCCTGCAGTTTGATTTGCATAGTGTCACCTGTGGTCACTCCAGGACAGCTTACACAGCAACGACGAAATCAGTAAACAGCACTTTGGTCATGCAGGCGCAGCAGTTAGGTTAAATTACAGAGATATACTCCTGTTTGAAGCTCTGATCATTTCTCTGTTTTGGTCTTTATTTTCAATCTTTTCACATTATTTTACTGTTTCTAACTCTCTTTTCTCTTTTTAAGATGCACTTTTACATCTTTTTCTTTAGAGTTTTTCACACATATTAACATTATTCATACTTTCCAGGGCTGTCGGGATGTCAGATCTTAACCTCAAGGTTATCTCCACCACAAAATATGGCAACAACATTTTTGGAAAACTTCACAGTCAGTCAAACTAAGACGAGTGTTGAGCAATACATAACTTCATAAACTTCACTTATTAATTTAATTAACTCACATGTCATCGACTATGTCTAATGATGTTGACACGACTGACTTCACGACTCCATCCCTGTCAACAAAGCTTCATTGCCTCTTTAATTGATTGTTTGTCATGCTTTTATTTTGATATTTTTCCTGCCTTGAGTTTTAAACTGTTCTTTTATTTTGAAATATAAGGTAAATCTGCTAGATTAGTCACAGAACTGAATGAAAACAGTTAAATGATCACTTTGATTCACTATTTATCTTGAATATCAGCTTTAAAAGTGCAGAATCGGCTCTTAGGCGGGCTGCTACGGCTAGCTTGCTAGCAGCTGCTGCTTCTTCTTCACCTCTGCTGTTATTTGACATGAGGCAACCAGTCAGCAAAATATCTATATTTATATTCATTAAAAAGACTGTTATGGTGAATACCAGTACATAGCCACGGCCCTATTATAGTGTTTTTTATGTTTATAATAGCAAATAAAAGATTCTATCAAAGTTTGGCACTGTGTTTTTGTTGTCGGTCATGATTTTGTCTTTCAAAAACTGTCCACAAAAGGTGAGTTAAGTCCATTTATCATCTCTTGCAATGAGAATTTCTAATGTAAACACTGCAGATGTTTGGTCCACTAAATAATCAGTGTTATCGATGTCATGGCACTTACTTATACACACCAGATTTGCTGCTATAGTCAATAAGTTGCTAACATCATTGTTGTGTGACAGAAACGATCACCTCATGTTGTGTCTGAACTAGCAAAACCACTCGCCGCAAAATTGTCTAGTGAGAGCACATTTGACCATTTTCAGAAAGCATAATGAGACTGTCTTTAGCACAAAAAAGACAATTGCAAGGGCATCATTTTGTCCACAGGGGGCGCCAAAATCGACACAAACTTCCTCACTGGAGTTTCAACTTTTTACAATGTAAGGATTTTACACCAGCAAAAATGTTATATATCGCAAACACCAATCCCCCTTTTTTCTTTACAAAGTTTGCCTGTTACTCCTAATTTGGAAGTCAGCATTCGAGTCCACCATGAATGTATTCTTGGTCAAAAACAGACACTTAATAATGCGTCTACTGTCCGTCTCTGACATTTGAACAACCTCCACACAGTTGAAGCTCATGTTGTTGCTGAATGTTATTGCAAAACTAATGTGTCACCTTCACATCCGCCGAGTCTGGAGACTAACTTTTTTTTTGCTTAAATCCAAATTTCTATTCTCCGTGAACAACAGTTTCTTTATTAAACCCTTTTTATGCTCGTAAAATTACTACAGGGTCTTTTAGATTTTCTCAGAATGATAAAGTTCACACAAAGACTGCTTGTAAAAGTACTTAAAAACATTTATACACAGTGGTCTTTAAAGGAACAGCCCAAACAGTTCATTTCCACTCTTTAAGATACACTCTTTCTTTAATACGTGCTTTTTTGAATGTGAATCTAATGCCAAACTGGTATGTGTGTGTGTCTTTCTGTGGTTTAGATGTGGGTGTTTATTCTTGTTCCCATGATCGCAATTAGACGTCTGACTTTAATAGGAGATTAAACAAACCAAAAAGAAGAGCGTACTGTTAATAAACTTCATTATTTGTTAGAAAAGGCAGAAAAAAGTTTGTCAGAAACTCACAGGATAAGTTAAAATGAATTATTTTGGTGCAGCAATCAGGTTTAGAGTAAAAATACTAAACCTAGAAGAGGAGAGACGTACAAATCCTGCATTGAGAGAGACATTTCGACACGGTTTGGATAAAAAACGCCTTGAAAGTCTAACTGAGAAGTGATGTGGGTGTTAATTCTTGTTCACATGACTGAAATTAGACCTCTGAGTGTAATAGGAGATTAAACAAACCAAAAAGAAGATCATACTGTTAATTAACGTAATTATCTGTTAGAAAGAGGCACAAAAAAGTTTGTCAGAAACTCACAAAATACGTTCAAATGAATTATTTTGGTGCAGCAATCAGGTTTAGAGTACAAATACTAAACTTAAAAGAGGAGAAACTTACAAATCCTGCATTGAGAGAGCCAAATCAGACTCCATTAGGACCCGGTTAGGATAAAAAAGCCAACTGAGAAGTGATCCTTTCAGTTACTTGTGTTTACTGTATGCAGCAGTCACTCTGAGAACAATATAACCTTGTTCACCTCATGCCGGCTGGTTTCCTCCTGCTCTCTGAGATCTCTGACTCTGGGTCCAGACTCAGCTGGAGGCCTGTAGGTGAACCTCCTTGTCTCTTCTCTCCTCCATTCTCACTCTCAGACCTGTTGCACAAGAAGAAGACACTGTTATCTCTTTACCTGCACAACACCGAGGAGTCATAACAACACATTGATTACACAGGGAAGACTAAACAAACATCATTTCTGCAAGTGGTGCATTAAAGAGCTTCAGGACACATTCAGGCATCATTCATTTTAGAGCTGTTATGAAAAGTTCGAGATGCAAATGAACCATATCTGCTCTCCTCGGTGCCACGTACGCGTCCTAAAAGTCAGAATAGCCCTTTAATCATAAAAATAAAGGGCATGCGTAAAAGTAACCAGAATGCACCGGGTCTAAATCGCCTTCCTTAAAGCTGGAAAATCGGGCCCTTACTCTCCATCTCATCCAAACTTACGCGGATCGGTTCCCCCGGGAGTCCTTGTGGGAAACTTGCTCCTGTGTGGGGGACGGGGTCAGAGGTCCGTCCGCCTGCTCGCTCACCGGTACCATGGTTTATTTTGCATATTTTTGAGTGTCTTCTGTTTAGTTTCTGTTGTCGCCCTCGGGACACATACGGAACAGAAGCTTCAGGAAGCCCTGGCACGGAAAGTTTGGGAAGAGATCGGTCGATGGAGCGAGAAGCCCGACAGAGGAGGAGCCGGGATTGGGGAGGGAGGAGCAGGAAGAACAGGGAAGAAGGAGAGAGCCGAGTCAGTCCTGCAGCTACTGAAGCTGACTGAGGATCATACAGACGATCTTTTAACTTCTGAAGTTTTCACAACTTTAGAAACTAAAGAGGAACCGGATCAGACTGAAAACACGAGTGCAGAGGTCACAAGATACCAAAAGTCAATGTTTTCTTTATCACTGTTGCAAGTCCTGCGAGTGCAAAACAGAGACCAAAATACAGACCCTCTATTTTTGTGAAACACTGTAATGCAAATATATGTCCAGCAGGGGGCAGCAAAGTCAAGCAAATCGTTTATTTCTCTTCAGGTGTGTTTACCCTCAGGTGACCCCAGAGCCAGCCCAAGCCTCAATGGGGCCCGAAGCAGAATTTGATTTTGGGGCCCTCTACTTCTGCCAATAATATTGATTATTGATCATTCACACACCTTCACAAATCTATTGATTAACATTCCATGACATGCAAACATACTTTTATCTTGGTGGTTTTTTCTCTTCGTCCTCTTTCTTTTCTCTGCTCTTGAAGGATATGTCCTTTTTTGCGACATTTTTTTGCCCCACAACTACATGCGCTTTGGATGCTCAGCGCGCATTGCACAGCAGTAGGCACATAACGGTAGTGGAGCTTTGTTATATCGACAGTAGGAATCATATCACATCAGCAGCAGCACTAAAGTGTTTTTACTTTATTTTGTAGCATTTTTACAGTACTATATATTAAATCATGCAGAAAACATCAATCATATAATCCTACTGGCCACGGGGCCCTAAGCAGGCGCTTCATTTGCTTATGCCTTGAGCTGGCTCTGGGTGCCCCTGGAACAAGCCATGAAAGGAACTTTTTTTTTTACCTATTTGAGGTTTTTATTTTGGTCCTCATGGTCTCATTTTATGTTGTCGGGTTCTTGTATTGTCTGGACTTCTTATGACAAATGAAATTGGTTTTCAATTCGGAGGCCTTGTTAATAACTAAGCGTTTGTGTTTTATTTGTTTTTATTTCCATGTGCAGACGCTTTACGACTGTTTGTCAAAGCACTTTGTAAACCTGTGTTTTTAAAAGTGCTAAAAGTTTTATCATTAATTCTAGACCTTTTTATTGTAAAAATATTGTTGAAGTAGGTCTATGTGACACCAAACACACAATTTAAGTCTATTTTTAGGTACCTGTTGCTACACTTTGCAAAATGAAGGGGGAAAAAATAGATTTTCATGGTGTGCAAATGATTGAAAGTTCTTTAATTCTTAAACATAGTTGAAAAAAAGACATTATATCTAATGCTAACACTGAAAATATAAATGTTTAATGGAAAACTTAAGCTCACTTTGTCTTTTTTCTTTTTCCGTCTCTTGAATTAGGTGATTTTTCGACCTTCTGTAACTTCTTTACTTTCAGGTTTTTTTTTAAATAAATTTTTTTAATTGATATTTTATGGATGGCGAAGGAAACAAAGAATTCAATGGGAGGGTTAGAGACTTTAACCCTTTGTCATTTACATTAGTCACATTACCCCCACTCTCTGCCATTTAAGAACATACATCCACAATACAACACAAATAGTAACAGAAGAAAACAATACAATACAACAGAAAATAAAAAAAAAAATAACAAAACAAAGACAAAAAAGACAGATCAGTCATACCTCATTCATTCGTCCCCTAATTCTTCCCTGCTTTACTGTCAGTGACCTTCAATAAAATGTACGATAAAAAACAGTTTTATCCAAAATCAGAAGTTTCTTTAGTGCCTTAGAGAAACGGTTGACAACATCAGTGGATACTGGAGTTTTTTTGGTTAAAAATAAATTTGTTTCTGTCCTTTACTGCTGTCATTAATTTTTTCAGCTTCTTTATTCTCTATGAATCATGATTGATTTCTCCGAACCCATCCGTCTCATGACCTCAGTACAGTTAATTTGCATATATTCTTGTTGACTATTGGTGTGGCTTTTTGTTTGAACGCTCCGTCTCCCCTGACGGTTCAATCCTTATTCAGTTATCTGTCGAGTCGAAGCACTTTTCAAATGTTTGTTTTTGAAATGTTACATAAATAGACATATAATGATTATAATTAATATTTAAATTTGATGCCAGCAACAAAGGTGTGTGGTTGGGGACAGCAAACACTGAATAAGTTGTGTGATGTTTAAAAAACACCTGTGGAAACATCTCTCTACTAATAGTGTTCATTTGCATACTAGGTATACGAAGAGGACTCGACAGTCTGTGAGAGACTGTGTGAGCAAACGGTTCAACTATTTAATGAAAATATTCCTGAGAGTAAAATTCCAAAGATATTTATTCATAATCTGCAGCTTTTAATATCATAAACTAAATATATTTGTCTGTAGTTTCCCCTGTTGACCTGCAGGAGTCACTGTTGCAGTATTTATTGAAAACAGAGCAAGGGAAAAGACTTGTCAGACTTCATTAAGTATCCAGGAGACAATACTGCTGCAGCCTGCAATGCAAGCCAGCGGCTAGGTAGTTTGTCATTAATCATGGCTGACAGGGAACCAGGGGTTAAAGGTCACGGAGCTGCCACAGACTCAGTTTTTTTGTGTCGCCTGCAGATTCACAGAGCAGGAGAGCTCGGAGACATGGAGACAGAGTTTATTTACTGTTCAGATAACAGAGGAAGAAGAGAGAGAGTCATGATATTTACAGAGGGGGTCAAGTAGTAATACTGCTTCACTGAAGGATTTTATTTCTGCAAACATTCATCGTTTGGGTCAAAAGTTAACTTGGCTTTATATGGAAGTACCAGGGAGTTACTAAAAGTACCAATATTTAATATGGAGATTGGTCCTTATCAAAGAAGAATAAAATGTTTAATTAATTATGATATAATAATAAAGAAATAAACAGTTTTCAAGTCCATATTCACCATGTACAGTTAATCTCACAGTCAACCTGAGGACGTCCCCAGAGTCTTCCACAGTCAGTACGTTTACATGACACTTGAAAAAAAACAAAACAAATTATTGCCTTTTCCGATTAAGACCGGACAACTGAAGTGCACGTAAACACCTTAGTCCGACTATAATTGGAGTTTGACAACTCCGATTGGAGTCAGAGAACTCAGATTAAGACACTCAGATAATGTGATTGGAAATTGATTTTTATCTACCATATAACCAGCGTAGTTGAAGTATGATTGGACAATGCATGTGCACGTGCAGCACGCCCCATAACCCCGACACAAAAACACCAGAGAAGAAGTGGCACTATCATTTAAAGAACTTTCGACTCAGAAGCAACTGCAACGTTGCGCGTAAAACAAACAAACAAAAAAGAAAAGTAGCTTGTACATCATGTACGACAAAAACAACGCTGTACGCTCGAAAATGCCCAGCAGCAGTTGTAGCCACTTTTGACGTCTGGCACGGACCCGCTGTTGTTGTTGTAGGGTCAACCGGAAACAGCGCCGCTGAAAATACCCCTATCGCCCCCTAGTTTTGGGGAGAAGGACACGTTCATGTCAATAATTTTATTTCTCAGCTGCATGTATACGCGGACAAGAAGAAAAGTTCCAATCAGCGAAAAAAAAAAAGCTAATTATGAGCTTAGTCCGATTAAGCAGTGCATCTAAATGCTCTGACTATTGATCAGCTTACAGTCGGTTTTTATCTCTTTTTCAGTTTTAGCTTTAGTTTCTGGTCTGACAGGATGCACGGTCTGATCAGCTGCACCTGCATGCTTAGTTTGTCTGAGATTGATTTTATTCTTAATCTAGACTCATTGTGAAATGGAGAGTTGGTCTTTTGGTAGGCAAACAATTCAACATACAGGTATTGTTTAATTAGGAATAAGACTTGAAAATTAAACACTGCTGAATCTTTTAACACAAATAGAGCCAAATAAGCGTAGTGCAGTAAGATTACGATTTATAATAGGAGCTTTTTCCCCTTTAGAGAAACTGTTTCCACTCTTTATGCTAGGCTAAGCTAACCCTCTCCTGACTGTAGCTCCATATAAACATGAGAGTGGTAACGTTCATCTCTTTGTAAGAAAGCAAAGGGCGTATTTTCTGCATCTTTTCCTCCAAAGCCCGGTGAAAAGGCTTGACTATTAGATTATACGTGTGTGCCTTTTTCTTTCTGAGAAACATCTCCTTTGGTAGGCAGAAGGCTTTTCAGTGCCTGTCAGATATTCCAGCAACAGAGAGACAGAGAACAAGGAAGGCACAGAGAAAGGAGGCTGCTGTGTGCGAGAGTGCAAAAATGGTACTTGTGACGGGGGAAGATTGAAGTCCTGTTAAGTGCTCTGCTTGAAAGCATGTCTGGCCTCATTAGCTGTCAGTTGTAACAATACTGAGCTGGCAGCGAAGACAGGTTGGAGTCTAGTGGTCATAAATCACTCCTCGACAGCTGCCTGACAAGCTGGGAACCAGTACACAGGCACGGGCACCACTCTCAGCCTCGACACTGCACAGGCTCGCAGCCGTGCACGCTGTAATCTTGGAAATCATCGCTCCAACCCTGGAATTACACAGAGCCTGGAAAAGGGGCATTTTGTATGAGGGAAATTGCTTCATTTCACTCGAATGCAACCCCTCATGTCCCGTGACCGTGTGTCTTAGCCGCCGCCTGTGTCCATTAGCTAAATGAGCAGTGGCTGCAGCGACTTCTGTAGGGTGGAGGGAGGGGTAAAAGAGCAAGGCCTGCAGGTCATTAATCACGGCCCCTGACATGCAGAGCAGGAGGCCAAGGCTCCCCTATGCATACAGCTGCCGGGCCACACTCAATGCACAGGCGATGTGTTGACCCTCAAACACCCCCCAACCCCACTCCCAGCGCCTGTGGCTCTCATCTGTCCAACTCCCTCACTGTTTGTGTCAGTCATGTGTGCTGTCAGACACCTCCTCCTCCAGACCAACACCAATTCCCTTCATGCTGACTCCTCTTAACACTCAGATGGTGTTTTCACAGGGTTTTACTTTTCATGTGACTCTGATTGGA